AAAAAAAAAAAAAAAAAAGGGTAAGGTAAGGACGTTTTTCACAATAATAGTGAAATATAAGAACGTTATGTACTAATTACCCTTCAAGAAAATGAAATCTTGGGATCTGCAGCCGAATTTGAGCATTGTTAGCATACTATAGACCTGTGTTATCTTGGTGATATGATTTATTATCCGTTCTGTTCGGTGCACTCCGCTCCCCTCACTCCATCCAGTTCAGGTATTAGCCATTTTGATCCAGTAAACTTGTGATCCATTATATATGAGCCACATATACAACAGAGCTGTCCTTGCTGGCAGCAGAAAAGCTCGCGAATCTATTAACATTTCAGAATGTATTGCCAAACATATCATTAATTTAGATCCAAAAAATACTAGCTGTTATGTGACTCCCTCAAACTTGTACTCAGAACAGGGTAGATGGGATGAGGTTGAAAAGTTGAGAAGATTGGTAAACCAGGAGAAATTGAAAAAAAGAGATGGGTTATAACATGATTTGGGCTAAATGGTAATTATATATTAATCAAACTTATCTTCTTGATCCAGGCCTCAATTTCTTCATTCGACCGTGTGTCAATAGAAGTTAACAACTTAGGAGATGATACAACCAAACAGGCCTTCCCCATCCAAAATTAGCTTCCTTTAGAAGAAGAAACCTACTCAAAACTTTTGAAATTTCACTGGACCATCACACTTAGTTGGCTTGTGCAGCTCTTACTTTAACAAGGTTCAAGTGTTTGTCATTCTCCAGAAGTTTTGCAGGATAATCCCAGCTAAAACTACATATGGCTTACTTTGTTCAAAACTTTATATCCCTCGTCCTCATGATAATTCGCCGTGGATGGTATAACATTTGCCAGTCGGCTCATGTTCCCAATAGTGTCCAGACAATTGTAGATCTAGCCTAGTGTGTAGGTTCATTACATGAAGAACAGCATACATCCCGTTGGGATTAGGTAATTTTGATTGAGTCGAAGATTTAAATGTACCTAATCAACATATGTAGCATATGCGAATGACTGATTACCTTCTTTGACTCTTACTGTCTAACGTGAGAATGAACAACTAATACCTTCTACTTATGGAACAGGGGTTCTATTGTCCATTAGTGATCTCTGGATGTGAAGATGCGCCAATGGGTGATATCGTGGTTCCTACGTGTGGAGACGATGGAGTCGGTAAAAGGATTTTCTTTCTTTTTCTTTTTCCCACATTTTTCCCAAAGGGAGATAGTTCGGATCATCTGGTTCAGTCTTTACATTTTCTGCTTATGATTAGAATTTTATCACATTTCATGGCAGCATAGCTGTCTGTACTAAAGAGACATTTTGAGCTGCAAATCCTATGTTTCACTGATTAAGGATCGCCATCGCCATCTCTCTCCTCCTTTGCCATACTTCGTCTACAACTTATAACTTAAGAGCACTACAACTTGCCATGAATGGGATCAGTCTGTATTGGTGGTGTAACTGGCGTTCATAGTAACATTTTAAAATTCTTTTGGAGATTTTATTTATTTATTTTTTATGTACAAGCATTGTTTGGTGAATGTATACAACAAGCATTTATACGATGGATTAGACATGATTGATGAAAAGATGTACACAATAAGATATGTGAGCCATGCAGGCTAACATACTTCTGAACCGTATGCTCAAAGTTTTTGGTGAATAAAGGTGATGAGCTAAATTGAGATTATGAACCAAGCACTCTTGTGAGCCATTCATATTGTCTTGTTAATCAATGTAATAAAATTCACTCGAGTTGTAGTTTATTAGTCAATAGCAGTAAATTATTAGTTTTTTTTATCTTTTCACTATTTTCGATCATCGATTTATATAGACATTAGATTAAGGAGGATTAGTGATGAATGAAACTTTGACATTTTCTACACAGAATTGATGATAGTTTATTTTTTTCTATCAAAACTCTTATACTTTATATTTTTATACTTGTTTGAGTCCCATTTTGGGGAAACAATGTATTTTTGAATAGTGATTTTTTGGAAAATGTGTGGTTGAAAATAAGTTTCGGAAAAATGAGTTTTTTGAAAAATGGGACTCAATTAATTGTTAAAACTGTGAGCTTGCATTCAACTAGGGTCCATAGCTCAGTGGTAGAGCAATTGACTGCAGATCAATAGGTCACCGGTTCGAACCCGGTTGGGCCCTTTTAATTCTACTTTTTGTTCATAATTTTTGTTTTTGCCCCTTTTAATATTGAATCCTGCCTCCTTTCTTTTTTTATCCGTGAATCTACTTCATTTCTTAAGTGTCCTTTTTATATTGGTTTCTTTATGGGTTTGAACTCTTTTTTATTGTTGAAGGGTTTGGGAATTTGCACGCGTGGTGATCAAGAAGACAATAATGGACGAGAGAGTTTTCTCTGTCTATTTGCCTTTGTTTTCAACAAGAAGCTTTTTATTGTCAGCCATGATTTGGTAAGGTGTAAAATATCTTGAATTTTTGCTTTTTGTTTAATTCTTTCATTTTTTTTCCTTTGCTTTATATTACACTATTTTTGTATATATTTCCCCTTCTCTTCATGTCTTTTAGTTTCCATTATTCTTCAATTTATTATGAATATAACCTTTTATGTTATCTCAATTAATATAAATTACGCAATTTATAATTTTAAGGGATTTTGCTTCGTGTGATATAAACTGAGTGCAGTTTTTTCTGAATTATTTGCAACGTTTTCTTCAATTCTCGAGTACTGTAAAGAAAAATAAACTACTACAATATAGAAGGTGGGGCTGTTCCTAGCCTTTCTTTAAAAAGACTTGTGAAAGTTGAATTGATTTTTGGGCTTTGGAATAATTTGAAGTGCAAGTGATCTGCAGTAAATGCAATGGATTACAGGGAAGCTCTAGCAATACAGGGGTGCGCCATCTTTTCCCTGCAGAGAGGGGTGTCTGGATTTTTGAATTTTTTGAACTGCATTCATACATTATCTAATGCTACTGTTCCCATTATCTAATGCTACTGTTCCATTTCAACTGAACAATGGGGTTGATTCAATTTGATTAATACTGAATTTGTATCTTTTGTCAACAGTGGCATCTCATGGAGTTCGCCTACTGGTGCACTATCTGCTCTGCCACAAGGTGAACCCATGTGTAGAAGAAGGGAAAGACCATGGAAATACAGACATGATGGCTCAGCTTCATTTGCAATGTCTTTGTCTTCATCAGTCTAGTGTTGTTGAAGACTACATTAAAATAAATAAATTTGTAAGAGTTTAATAGCCTAAACTTTTAAATGAAGTGGTTTAATGTGACATGAGAGCAAGCAAAAGACTTGAGTTCAAGTCTTACTGCAAAAAGATTGAGCAAGTGTTAGGTGTTACGTTTTTAGTGGAAAAATAGATTCGGTGAACACAATGAGGGGCTTTCGAAAGACTAAATTTAAATAAACAAACGTGTCCTCTTTCAAAGCTTAAGCTTTTATATGAGGTAGTTCAATCTAATGGAGTTGACCTTGGTGCGCCATCTGCTCATAAAAGATCCAAAGGTGGTGTTATGGTTGATGTTGCACTGCATGAATGCCTCAGAATATGGACACACTGTGCATATGCTCACCCTGCCTTGTGCAGAGAATCGGGAAGGCCTTGGAAAGCTCAGTTTCACTTTCATTGTTAGCCCAAGATCTAGACTTTTTCAAGTTTTTATCCTTCCCTTTCAAATTTCATACTTTCATTTGGTAAGCACGATCCACTAACGCCAAATCATTTGATAAATTGGAAACCTACATCTACATGCAAATCGAAGCCGTCGACTGTCGAGTCCGGCTTCCTCTCTCCAACTGCCCATTGAAGTTACAAATGAACATATCATTAGTTGTATTTATGTAGTATTGTTGCAAATGTTAAAAAAATTAATTATAGTATGGAACCGAACCCAAACCTGAACAATTCCATAATTATATTTGGACACGATTGTTCCATTTATTAAAACCTCGAAAATTTTGGTTCGACACGGCCCTTATAGGTGTATACTTGGCTTGGGATATGAGGATCGCGTGGAAATTGTTCGAAGAAACGCCTAATAAAGATGTTTACTTGTGGAGTGCAATGGTTTCGACTGGGGACTATGTTGAAGTCTTTTAAGTTATTCAAGAAAGAAAGGTAATTAGCATTCATTATCTTTCAAATATTCTTACCTTACCTTTTTTGATATTTGGATATTTCATGGTTTAAAATATCATTTTCATCAATATTTTCAATTAAAAGCCAGACGATTATACCCTTCTATTTAAGCCCTTGTTTGGCACCAATTAAAATTTTAATTTAAGCCAAATTCAACATTTCATTTTAATCACATATTTTATGGGTACAACAACTTTTCAATCAGATATCTCATCGACTTTCATCAAAATCTATTAAAAATGTGATTTTAATCCATACTAAGGCACTGTTTGAGCCACCTTATTGTAGAACGAAAATGAAAAATATAGCCGTTATTGGTGCCCACGCAAGAAATAGAAATTTTGAATTTAAATGTTGATGTGATGGATAACGGTCATATTTTTCATTTTAATGAGATAAAAAGGTGGTCCAAACAGGACTAAAAAAACAAAAAGAAAAAGAAAGAACTAATTGTAAATATAGTCTCAAAATTTATAATAAAGTGCAAACAAGTTCTAAAAAAATTATTAAATGGATAATTAGCACATAATGTCCTTACATTTAACTATTATTGTGAAAAATTCATACATTTCATTTTTTGCATTTTCACGCTTAGTTACACATTTGATTGCGCAAACCATCATTTTTATCAATTTTCATCAAATTTATCAATAAAAAATTGTGAAATGACAAATATACCCTACTATATAAATGAAAACATTATTTTTTAAATTTTCTGATTTTTTAATAATTTATTTGAGACTCGTTTTCACTTTTTAATTTTTTAATTTCTATTTTTTAGTAATTTATTTGGGATTCGTTTGCATTTTTTTTTGAAAAAAATAATTTCTAATTTTTTAAATAATTTATTTGGGATTCGTTTGCACTTTTTTTAAAAAAAATAATTACTATTATTGGAACTCGTTTGCACTCTTTAAATTTCTAATTTTTTCATAATATATTTGGGACTTGTTTGTATTAAAGAAAATTAATTTCTAATTTTTAATAATTTATTTGGAACTCGTTTGCACTCTTTAATTTTTTCATAATATATTTGAGACTTGTTTGCATTTTTTTAAATAATTGTAACTATAATTGCAATTAGTTTTTTTTTTATTTATTTAAATAAGAGAACATATTAGTCATTTCACAACTTTCTATTGAGGAAATAAATAAAAATGGATAGAAAGAATGGTTTGCGCAATCAAATGTGTAATTAAGGGTGAAAGTGCAAAAAAAATAAATGAAAGGTACATAGTGAAAGATGGGGACATTATGTGCTAACTATCCTTTAATAATTTACTTGAAATTCATTTGGACTTTGTTTTAAAAAAAATTGAGACTATTATTGCAATTAATTATTTCTTTTAGTTTTTGTTTTATTTAAACAAAATTGTATATTTGTCATTTTACAACTTTTAATTAAGAAAATTGATGAAAATGACCATTTGGGCAATAAAATGTGGAAATAAGGATGAAAATATCAACAACAAAAAAAAAGGTAAGATAATGACGTTTTTCACAATAATAGTGAAATATAAGAACGTTATGTACTAATTACCCTTCAAGAAAATGAAATATTGGGGTCTGTAGCCGAATTTGAGCATTGTTAGCATACTATCGACCTATGTTATCCTGGCGATATGATTTATTATCCGTTCTGTTCGGTGCGCTCCGCTCCCCTCACTCCATCCAGTTTAGGTATTGGCAATTTTGATCTAGTAAACTTGTGATCCACTATATTTGAGCCACATATACAACAGAGCTGTTCTAGCTGGCAGCAGAAAAGCTCGTGGATCTATTAACATTTCAGAATGTATTGCCAAACATATCATTAATTTAGATCCAAAAAATACCAGCTGTTATGTGACTCCCTTAAACTTGTACGCAGAACAGGGTAGATGGGATGAGGTTGAAAAGTTGAGAAGGCCGTTACCTCAATAGGCAAAAATAGCCACATGGCTAATTCTCTGTTGCCACTGTAAAGAAGCACACCATTCCCATGGAAAATCTGCGTTTGTGGCTACAAGGTTTTCTATATGCTTGACACTTTGACACCAAGAAAGGCATTATGTTACTCATTTTTGTATTGGCACCTAGGAGTCATGCATTATGCTTCGATGTTTGTCTTGACACCTAGGATGTTGCATCATGCTACTTATTTCATAAATAATTGACAAAATCTATAAATGCAAACTTCAAGACACGTGTTTGGTAGTTTCCTATAGGAAGAAAAATCACTCCTCGATCTCCTTTCTCTCTTCTGCTTTTCAGATAGCGAGCATCATCTTTAGCTAATGTTTTCAGGTTATGAATCCGTTCTTGCTTTACTAGTGAACTGCGAGATACCACCATTTCATACACTAGATTTATGAGTGAATACTTTTCCTAATTAATTAAAGACACGCTACAAATTTCTTATTTAAATACCGGTTTTTAATTAAGACCAAGCAAGCATATTCTTTAATTCAAATCTAGGGTAAGGGTTTCTTGCAAATATGGTTTATCCAGCTGAGTGTTCCAGGTAGTTGTTTCACTTCATCTTCTTCCTTTACAAAAAATATTGTACCAATAGAGATCGTGATATGGCTTTTTGGAGGCTTTTCTTGTGCCGAGATGACTATTGCAATTTGCAGTCATTCAAAATTGTGCAAAACATTTACTTTTGCTGATTGTTTTCGTCAACTATATTTCTAATTAGAGTCCGTTTAATTGCAAGAATGGAATTTGGGTGGAAAGAAAACGAATTTCAAGGAATTGAATTGCCTAGAACTTGTTTTACTAGAAATTGTCAATTAATTGTGTTTGATTGACATAATTTTTCAACTGAAAAATGTTGAAATTTAAAATTGAATTGTGTAAAGAAAAATAATGTACTTTGCGATAAAAAGTGATTTCTGGGAATAGAAAATGCAAAAATTGAATAGTGTAAAGAAAAATTATGATTTAAAAATTGAACAGTGTGAATAATGTTTTCTCCCTTGCCAAGAAAAGAAAAAAACTAGCTCAACCATGGGAATTTCAATTCCTCAATTTTGTGGAATTAAGGGTCACGTGAGACCAAGTGAGAAAAGGAATTGCCAAGAAAATTTTTCCTATCAAACAAGCTAAAAAGTGGAAAATGTGGGATAATTTCCATCTTCCACGGAAAATTTTGGCCAATCAAACAAGGCCTTAATGTTCTCCAGATCTGGTAATAGGCCAGGCAATAAGTTTGTATTGAGAGACGGTTCACTCATTTAATTATAGCATATCATGCAATTGCTCGATGATTTATGATCATATCAGCTTTCAATTTTCCTTTTGATATTGAATTCATTTTATTGTTCACGAACTTGTCATTTGAACCGTCAGGTTGCATTTGATACACCAAGCTGTATTAGGTGGATATGATTAAGGTGGTTTTCAGTTATAGTGTGGAATGGATAATTGTATACGTTTGGTTGATAATGTCTTGTAATGTTCCCTTAAATTTTAAAAACAAAACATTTTTATTATGCAGAATATGCATTCTAATATCATAACCTAATTATCTCAATAAATGTCTTACATGATAATGGAAGTACATGTCATATTATTTAGCCCCAATTTGGTATAAATTCTTAAAAATTGATTTTTCTTCAATTTAGTTTTCAATCACACATTCTCCCAATAAAATAATTTTGCCCGTGAATCCATAAATTTTCCTACTTTTTAACCAGACATTCTTAAAATATAACACTTTTCACAAAATCTACATTAAACAAACCCTTAGAAACTTATCAAATTCATAGAACAAAATTGCATTATGCTTTGTCACATTAAAAAAAGAAACAAATTTGATTAAAGCCCAGACTCATTGTTTTATTCAGTTGGAGAATGAGGAAAATGAACTATCCCTCTCATCCTCAACTGACCTCCTCTTGTACACATTTGACCATATTTGGTTAAGCTCAGAAATTACTTTTGTTTAATTTTTCATCTCCCAACATGTTTTGGATACTTTACTTTTTTCCTATATCTAAGTAAGAAGTTATTTTTTTAAAAGTAACTCGTTCTTTAATATGAAAATAAGTAACTTATTTAAAACTTTCACCGATAAAAGAATTATTTGTTTTAAAAAACTTGTTACTTATAAGTAAGCTCTTTAGGCTTGGCCTAACATAAAGTTTTTCTACCAGTTTTAGTAGTGAAGAAATGCAGATTTCAGTCAATAAAAACCCCAGCAGCTCACCATCCCCAAAGGATGCCTTCGGACCATGATTTTGTTATAGGTAATTCTTATGTTATTATATGCGGATATTTGTATAAGTTGCAAATTTCTTCATTTGAAAAGATACCATGTTTTTGGAATCATTTTGAGTGTTTAGTTATTTGTGAATTTAGTTAATTTTAATCCACTTTTGACCCATGTCCTTCCTATGGATTATTTGTAGTATATAAGAAAGCAGGAACTATCTGCACTAGTTTAGTCTCATACTATTTGACTAAACACTGTATAGACTAAATTAATCCTTATCTTGTCCAATTCGGAGTACCAAACACACCCTAATTGTCTTGAAATATAGTCTTCTTGCTTAACCTAAAATTTTACTTCTTTCTTTTAAATTTCTGTTATCTTCTACAGGTTGTATACTCGGTTAGCAATTCGTGGGCTTCTTTTTGGTATCTTTAATTGAAATATTTATTATTTGTCTGATTTTGTTAATGAATTTCTATTTTTATGGGGATTTTTTTTATAACCTGCAAATTAAAATATATAATTTGTAAATTCAGCGAATGAGGCATTTCTGCGTTTGAAAAGATAGCAAGTTTTTGGTAATTTTGTATGTTATTTATTTATGGGAATTTAGTTAATACTAATCCACTCTTGAGCGATGTCCTTACTATGTTATCCATCTAATTTCTGAATGTGGAGGTTTTTATAACCCACAATTTAGTATACATAAATTATTTATGGGAATTTAGTTAATTTTAAAACATTCTCGATCCAGGTCCTTACTATGGATAATTCTAATCGGTCATTGTAGTATATGGGAAAATATCCGGATTAATTTAGTGCCAAATTATTTGCTCCAAACCCCGGATTGGACTAAACTAATCCTTATCTAGTCCAATCGGGTGTACCAAACACCCTAATTGTTGTGGAATAAGGTCTTCTTGTTTAGCCTAAATTTTTTCAAGTTTCTGTGATCTTCTACAGTTTTATTGTATACTCGCTCGGCGATTCATGTTTTTCGTGTCTTTAAATTGAAATATTTGTTATTTGTATGCTTTTGTGAATGATTTATTATTTTGCTAGGTGCAGGGGTGCCTTTGCTATAATGGATTCATATGGTATACAAGCACGTTTTATCAATATCAATAGAGGAGAAGTATGTAATATGCCTTACAAATTGATATTAGTGTTTTACATTAAATTCCAAACACATAAGCATGGGAAAAGAATGCTTGCAATATTTTTGTTGCCTCTGTGTAACTATGACATATCTTAAAATGATCTAATGAACAAGCTTAAATGTAATAGGTGTCGAAGGCATTGATTTGTATTTTCAACTCTATGCATTATAGGTAAATGTTGAGTGAAGAAACTTTTGGCGTGTTTGGTTGGACATGATTGGACAGTATCAAGAAAGAAAAGAAACTAGTTCTCATCCATTATGATGTCTGGTTCTTTCCAATATTGTGTACAGAATATGCACTTGTTGGACATGACTGGACAGTATCAAGAAAGAAAAGAAACTTGTTCTCATCCATTATGATGTCTGGTTCTTTCCAATATTGTGTACAGAATTTGCACTTAGTAAATTGAGATGATAAAAGTGATAGAAAAATGATTTAAAACAAATAAAACACATTACTCAGCATTCTTTCTTAGTTAAAATTTTTGTCAACCGAGCTAAGGTGAGCTATACACACAACAAAACTATGGCTTCAAGTAAATTAGTATAAGAACGAAAATGGGAAATTTGGATGGGAGCCAATTATTCACCAATACTTTGGCCGAATCATCTTCCCGATCCCAATATCACACTCATGCCCATTTTAAGGTTTTTCTATCCTGTCAGAAAACTGAAGATCTTTCAATATAATGGGATTCTGCTGTAGATCCTACATTTTCCTTCAACTATATAGTGGCATTTCCACTTGTGACAAAACAATGGCATATGAAAATCTTTATCCTTTCAGCACCATCTGATTAATCCCTTGTCTTCAATCCTGTTATGTTCTTGATGGTGGGGATTCTAGTAGAGACCCAAGTGAAGACTTACTAAGTATTGTAGTTTATGTTTGTTTCAATAAGATTAACTAGAATTTTGATAAGTTGTGATGTATTAGAAGTTCCCTTACTGTTCAGGAATTAAGGCTTCAATTTATACAAACCATTATTAAGTTAATCAGAATTACAGAATTTTTCTTCCTCCCATATTATTTCTCTTGGACATCTATCTCTTCTTATATTCTTATTCTTCCCTTTTCTCTATCTATTCTTGTGTATTTCTCTCTTCCATTCTCTCTTATTCTCTTACTCTGACAAGTTCCGCATGGAGTCAGGTATTCACTTGATATGTACTCGGTGCCAAAAATTTGAATTAGTCGTAACTTTTTGGTAAGAGTAGCTTCTGGAGTGTGCTGATGATAAGGTGTATTTAAAAATTCATAGGACTTGATAAAGAGAGCAGATATTTTACCAGATGACGCGACTTTGATACGTTATAGACGCTTCTTATATATGCTTAGCATATTTGTGTTGGCTTGTCTTAGAAGCTTAGTCCAAGCATTCTTAAAAGTGGTTGCTAGGCTAAGCTTATAAAGTTTACTTATAAGTAAATGAGTTTCTAACAAATAATTTTATTGATCAAAACTGAAAATTAGTAAGTTACTTATTTTGGAAGTTAGGTAAGAGTTACTTTTAAAATTCTTACTTTTTTTTACTTAGTTGGAAAGAAATAAGTTATCCAAATATGTTTAAGCAAAAACCTATTTAAAAGTGTCTTTTTACTTATTTATAAGCCTAGCCAAACATTGTCGGGCAAACAACTTATACAAACCTTTAAAGACCTATTAGTTGAGACATAGTTAATAACATTGACGTTACATTTTCGGCTGGCACTTTTAGTTTTTGATACGGTCTGTTTTCGTGGCTTTTCCTGGCAGAATATTTTGGCGAGGATAACCTCACTTTTACAACAAGGGACAAGGGCTATATCTATCTTGGCAGCAGTTGGTTCGGTCTCCATCGTGAGTTTTAAAAGAGAGACCCCTGGTGTGTCCCCCATGACTCACACATTTCAGGTATGAACTTCAAATATTGTAGTTTTGACAGTTTTACAAAATTGTTGCAGCTGTGAACTATCAAATCTTTAGCACAGAGCATTTACATATTGTAAGGCATATCACACAAAGACGAGACAAAAACACATCTATGCATGATACTAGCTGTCCAAAAAGTCAACTGAAAAATAGAATCATAAATGATGAAGACTAATCAAACTTTAACACCATAAACCTACTGGAACTTTAAGGTAAATCATACAAGTAGAAGATTGCTCAACCAACACAAAAGAGAGCCAGCTGGGCTGACTGTATTAGAGGTTTATTTAGTTTCCTAGTATAGAATAGGAAATCGAAGTTCACGTTAAATTAGGGATTTAATTTATATTGTACAGGATCTTTATTTCCTTGTATAGCTATGTAATGCAATATATATAGAAGGCCAAAACAGGCTGAATGGACACTCGAAAATTCACAAAATTACTCTCGTTTGACATGGTATCAGAGCCCTAACCGTTTCTATCTCAAGAGTCTGGTTCAGTTTTTGGGCGAAATTTTGTTGGGCGTCATCTCGGTTTCATCATAGTTGGCTTCACCGGTGGTCTCCTTCAGCGTCGGTCCTCTGTTTGTCTCGGTTGGCGTCAAGTCTGGTCGCCAAATCATCTTTTCCAGAACCGTGTGAAGTTGTAATTCCCATTTCTGGCGTGTCTAGGGTTAGGTTTTTTCGGGCACATCCGTAAGTTTGGTCGAAGTTTCTTCTTCTCCCGTCGTCTGCACCATCGTCTTCGTCTTCTTCGTTTTTCTCCAGCCTCGCCATCTGCAGTGCATCGCGTCGCCTGTGTGTGAGTGTTTTTTTTTAGTTTGGATCGAATTTCTTGGGCTGCTGGTTTAAATAGGTGCTGGGCCTATATTTGTTTAGTGAAAATTGATTGGGCTTGAATTGGGTTGGACTCTTGTTGGTTTAAATTGGAAAATAGTAATTTATTGGGCATTCGGGATTTAATTTGGTTGGACTGATTTATCGGGCTTGTGCTGAAATAGTGGATTGTGGTTAATTTATTGTGACGGAACTATATACTGTTTCATCATGTCAATTGAAAAGACCGTCTCCGTTTGTATTCGTTTTACTGGGAAGAACTACTCGTCATGGGCTTTTCATTTTCAATTATTGGTTGAAGGCAAAGGTGACTTGTGGGGACATATTGATGGAAGTCTCCCACCTCCTGATCAAGAGAAGGATAAGGAGAAATATCTTGCATGGAAAACAAAAGATTCTCGACTTATGGCATGGATAATCGGATCAGTGGATGCGCAGATTGTTCTTAATCTTCGACCCTACAAGTCAGCTCGTGCTATGTGGGAGTTCTTACACAAGGTCTATACTCAGAGCAACAATGCTCGTCGGCTCCAATTGGAATTTGAATTGGCAAATTTTTCTCAGGACTCGCGTTCTATTGAAGAATATTATTCGGGTTTTACTAATCTTTGGGCTGAATACACGGATATCATCTATGCTTCGGTTCCGCTTGACAAGTTAGAGGCTGTCCAAACTGTACACGAAGTCACCAAGAGGGATCAATTTTTGATGAAATTGCGAACTGAATTTGAATCTATCAGATCCAGTCTTATGAATCGTGAATCTATTCCAACCCTGGATGGTTGTTTGGGTGAATTACTGAGGGAGGAGCAACGTCTTATCACTCGTACGTCTTTGGAACAACAACAGAATCATGTAGCACCAATTCCAGTTGCATATGTGGCTCAAGGGAAATACAAACCTCGTGACATGTCTGGTGTGCAGTGTTACAGTTGTAAGGGTTTTGGTCATATGGCTCTTCAGTGTCCTCGAAAGGTTTGCAGTTACTGCAAGAAGTCTGGTCATGTTATAAAGGAATGTCCTACTCGTCCTCCACG